TGAGACAGAGTTTCACCATGTTGGCCAGGCTGGTATCGAACTCCTGGCCTCAAGTTAACTGCCCACTTTAGCCTCCCAAAGTGCTGGGATTACAGGCGTGAGCCACCATGCTCAGCCCAGATTCTCAAAGTTTTGAATTTGATTTTCCCACAGCCCCAGCCAGCCCGCCTTTTAACTAGATAAGGAAAAAGCTTTTTTCCCTAAGAGGAGTTGGATATTAACATGTTTTAGGCATAAACGTTCTGCTTCCCTGGCCTTGTCACTCCTAGCGTACTCATAACTACTGAGTGAGTGATGTAGATAATTCTCTTATGATCAGAGGCTCCCTCTAGCGGTGAGCAGCGACTAGTGCTGATTCTCTAGCTGTGTGCTGTAATTTATATTCAGATACAAGTAGGGCCTATTAGTGTAAAACTAAAAGGGAAATTAAAATCATAGGATAATAAAGTTGAAAATCGTCATCTGGTTTAATATTTTACTCTTTAAAAAATTTTTTTTTGTTAATATTTTACTGTTAAGCATGTTAATCTCAGCTTTTCTGAAAACTATTCAGAGATGAAGTCTCATTATTAGTTTTTTAGCTAGGTGTTGTAGTCGCAGCTACCCTGGAGGCTGAGGCAGGAGAATTGCCTGAACCCAGGGGGCAGAGTTTGCAGTGAGCCCAGATCGCGCCACTGCACGCCAGCCTGGGCAACAAGAGCCAAACTCGGTCTCAAAAGAAAAGAAAAGTAAATAAAAAAACAAATATACAAATAAATTCAATTGAAGGGTACAGGGCTTGTAGTTAGATGAATAAAATGCTACAGAGAACTGAGCTCTAGAACGTCATTGGTGATCTCGACACTTTTTTTTTTTTTTTTGATATGAGTCTTGCTCTGTAACCTAGGCTGGTGTGCAGTGGCGCGATCTCGGCTCAGTGCAGACTTAGCCTCCCGGGTTCAAGCGACTCTCCTGCCTCAGCCTCCCGAGTAGCTGGAATTGCAGGCGTGTGCCACTGCACCCACCTATTTTTTTTTTCCTTCCTTCCTTTCTTCCTTCCCTCCCTCCCTTACTCCCTCCTTCCCACCTACCCTCCTCCCTCCATCTCTCTCTCTTTCTTTTTTTTTTTTCAGACGGAGTCTCACTCTGTCACCCGGGCTGGAGTGCAGTGGTGTGATCTCGGCTCACTGCAAACTCAGCCTCCCGGGCTCAAGCGACTCTCCTGCCTCAGCCTCCTTAGTAGCTGGGATTACGGGCGTGCGCCACCACGCCTGGCTAATTGTTGTATTTTTCGTGGAGACGAGGTTTCAGCATATTGGCCAGGCTGGTCTTGAACTCCTGACCTCAGGTGATCAGCCCGCCTTCGCCTCTCAAAGTGCTGGGATCACTGGTGTGAGGCACCGCGCCTGGCCGATCCCGACACTTTTTTTTTTTAAATGACAAAGCTAGAACAGACACAGAATTTTCAAAGATTCCTCCATAGCTCCCCTAAGATCCAGCCGGCGGGAAGCCCCAACTGAAAACAGCAATGGCAGGTAACGCAGAGGCTAGATCCTGTTTTTTTGTGTTACTGCGGTTCCCTCCACCTTCAAAACGCCCCTTTGTTTGGCGGCGCCTACAACTCCCAGAAGGCAACGCGAGGGACGCAGGCGGAAGCAGCTGGCCAAGCTGAGGTCTGTGATTGGTAAAGAGCGATGGGCCAATTAGAGGAGTTGTTGTTAGGCCGTCCCGGAGAACCGGTCGGGAGGGAGGAAGGTGGCAAGATGGTGTTGGAAAGCACTATGGTGTGGTGAGGCGCTGTCTCGGGGCTGGAGGGGGAGAGCTGGGTCCGGGCGCGTGTATCGCCGAGGTTGGGCGGGCCTGGGGTGGGGGCTGGAGGCTCATGGGTGAGAGGCGGCCCTGGGCCAGGAGGGAAGGAGCCCCCTGGACTCCCTGAGTCATCCCGGGGCCCTGGAGAGGCGGACAGGCCCGGGTTACCCCTGTTACCCCCAGGGGGACGGTCATTGACCGGCCAGTCCTGCTGCCTATCTCTACTCCAGCGCCGTCTTCTTTAGAGAAGCTGGAGTCTGTCCTTAGTTCTGCTTCTCGGACTCATTGTAATAGTTTTCTGTCCTCCTTTCTTCGCAAAATAATGTCTATTAGGAAAATAGATTATTAATCCCTTACTCCCTCCATTCCCTCGTCTCTAACTCCATTACCTTTCCCTGTATCATCTTCAAAGGTACCATCTACAGATTGCTTTTTATATACCATTTTGTTTACTTTATCTCACTTAGACCTTACAGCTACACCTTAGGGTAAATTCTGTCTCCATTTTGCTGTTCAGGATACCAATTTTAAGTGACTTGTCCAAAATCACACAGCTGGTTAAGTGGTGTAGTCAAGATTTAAACCCAGGGCTGTGTGACACAAAGGCTTTTATCCGGCGAGCTAGCTCTCCGTCAGTCTCAGGCTTGGGCTGAGTACCTATTACAAGTCACATTAGATGCTGAGGACATAAATTTTTGGAGAGTTTCAAGAATTCTAAGTGTAATCATAGAATGTAATACAGAATAGTAGACGAACACAAATCACCAATTGGGTGGAACAGACACCTGTGAGATTTCTTCTTTTTATTTTTTGGGGAGAGCATAGCAGATAACATACAGGATCCCCAGTGAAATATGAATTTCAGATAAACGATTAATAATTTTTTTTTTTTTTCTTGCTCTGTTACCCGGGCTGGAGTGCAGTGGCGTGATCCAGCTCACTACAGCCTCCGCCTCCTGGGTTCAAGCGATTCTCAATGATTGAACTAATTTACACTTGCACCAACAGTGTGTGAGTATTCTCTTTTCTCACAGTCTTGCCAGCATCTGTAACTTTTTGACGTTTTAGTAATAGCCATTCTGACTGGTGTGAGGCGGCTCCTTGTGGTTTTGATTGGCATTTCCCTTTTTGAGAACGAGTCTGGCTCTGTCACCAGGCTGGAGTCCAAGTGGCACGATCTCAGCTTACTGCAACCTCCGCCCCTCAGGTTCCAGTGATTTTCCTGCCTCAGCCTCCTGAGTAGCTGGGACTACAGCACCACCATACCCAGCTAATTTTTGTATTTTTAGTAGAGATGGGGTTTTGCAATGTTGACCAGGGTGGTCCTGATCTCTTGACTTCGTGATCCGCCCGCCTTGCCCTCCCAAAGTGCTGTGATTATGGGCATGAGCCACCGTGCCTGGCCTTGATTGGCATTTCTCTAATGATCAGTGATATTGAGCTTTTTTTCATGTGCTTGTTGGCTATATGTATGTCTTCTCATGAGAAGTGTCTGGCCGGGTGCGGTGGTTCACGCCTGTAATCCCATCACTTTGGGAGGCTGAAGTGAGTGGATCACCTGAAGTCAGGAGTTCCTGACCAGCCTGGCCAAGATGGCAAAACCCCCGTCTGTACTAAATTTAATTAGATTCCACTTGTCAATTTTGCTTTTGATGCAATTGCTTTTGGTTTCTTTGTCACAGAATCTTTGCCTGTTCCTAAATCTAGGACGGTATTGCCTAGGTTGTCTTTCAGGAATTTCTTTTTTTTTTTTGAGACTGATTTTTGCTCTTGTTGCCCAGCTGGAGTTCGATGGTGCGAGCTGTGCTCACCGCAACCTCCACTTCCCAGGTTCAAGCGATTCTCCTGCCTCATTTCCTAGTAGCAGATATTACAGGCATGGGCCACCACACCTGGCTAATTTAGTATTTTTAGTAGAGACAGGGTTTCTCCTGTTGGTCAGGCTAGTCTCAAACTCCTGATCTCAGATGACCCACCTGCCTGGGCCTCCCAAAGTTCTGGGATAACAGGCGTGAGCCACCACGCTTGGCCCATCTTCCAGGATTTTATGGTTTTGTGTTTTATATTAAGTCTTTAATTCATCTTCAGTTAATTTTTGTGTATGGAGTAAGAAAGGAATCCAGCTTCAATCTTCTGCATATGGCTAGCCAGTTATTCCAGCACCAATTATTGAGTAGGGAATCTTTTCCTCACTGCTTGTTTTTGTCAGCTTTGTCAAAGAGCAGACAAAACAGGTAGGACAGGCACAGTGGCTCACGCCTGTAATCCCAGAACTTTGGAAGGCCGAGGTGGGTGGATCCCGACGTCAGGAGATGGAGACCATCCTGGCTAATATGGTGAAACCCCATCTCTACTAAAAATACAAAAATTAGCCAGGCGCGGTAGCACGTGCCTGTAGTCCCAGCTACTCGGGAGGCTGAGGCAGGAGAATTGCTTGAACCTGAGAGGCAGAGGTTGCGGTGAGCTGAGATTGCGCCACTGCACTCCATCCTGGGCGACAAAGTGAGACTCCGTCTTAAAAAAACAAAACAGCCGGGCGCGGTGGCTCACGCCTATAATCCCAGCACTTTGGGAGGCCGAGGCGGGTGGATCACGAGGTCAAGAGATCGAGACCATCCTGGTCAACAAGGTGAAACCCCGTCTCTACTAAAAATACAAAAATTAGCTGGGCATGATGGTGCGTGCCTGTAGTCCCAGCTATTCGGGAGGCTGAGGCAGGAGAATTGCCTGAACCCAGGAGGC